CCCATAAGGAAACCATACTGGTACCATCAAAAAACCAAACCATTGTCATAAGACAGCCGTACCATTACCATTAAAAACCATACCATTACCATACGATTATCCCAAAAATACACCAGGCTATCATGAGAATACCATACATAAGAAAACCATCAGAAAAAAACAATACTTAAGACAACCATGCATCAGATAATTATGGTGATGGCGATGGCGATGGTGGTGTCTCCTGGTTTTAGGGAACAACTCCTGGGAGGTCTTCGCATGAACGCACGTGCTGCCAGGCCCGATTAGGGGTCCTCAAGCGGGAGAAGCCCGAATAGACCGGGGAGTAGACCTGATTAACCTGGATCATGGGGAATACAGCGGGACTATGTCTGAGTAGGCCTGTTTTTGACCAAGGATCTGCTAGCGCCGATTCCGAACTTAATCCCCCAGGAGTTGCATCCTGAAGCATAGGAGAGGAAGGGGGGGGAAGGGGGAGGGCAAAGAGGCAATGCGGGAGAGAAATGTCGCGGGGCATAACGAAGGGAAGTCGCCTGCCAAGCGGCTTCGAAACGAATTGCGGGGGAACGCCACTGTCGGAAGAGTAGGTCAGTCAGCCCAGACATCCGACGTCGTGATCTTTCGATAACGTGGCTGCCTGGAAGTCTGGAACCCCCGTCCCGGAGACCAGCTTGTCATCCTGAGTCGTCTTCTGACGATCTCTGGGCATGGCAAAGCCCCATGAAACTGAAAATTGCCCAATCATCTCACGCCGTGATTTTTCAGGACGCGGGGACGTCAGGAGAGCGCGTCCCTGCCGCAACGGGGTTGGGCGCACGCTATCTGGATAATTCGGGGGCGCGCAAACATGGATTAGCGATCCACGGATTTGGCGCGCCGTCGCCTGATCCATGGATCGGGGGAGGTGCCCACCCCAGAATGCGGCTGGTGCCGCCTCGCTCGGCGGCGACAGTCCGCGATTTCCGAGGGAAACGGGACCCGTCGCTAATCCACGACCCCTTGATCCATGCTGGCGATCGCCTGAATAATAGACTGCCCATTGCCGCACGCGCTGCTCCTCGCCAGGCGGCAGCTGCGGGCAGGATGCCGCCGGAAGAGGGCCCCCCAGGAGGGTCCACGGCGCGCGAGCCTCCGCCCTCTCTCTGGGGGGCCCTCCTTAGGGAGCCCACAAAGGACGTACGCGCCCAGCTATGTACATGAACACGGCCCCTCGAATCGCGAGACCGGCCGCGTGATACGAACATTTGTGAAATGCGTGCTCTCGAAACCAGCGTGGATTCATGTACATGTACGTCCTTCTTTCGCTCCTGACACTCCTCGGGGCCCTCTTCTGGGGCCCTCTCGGGGCCCAGTCTTGGGAGCCCTCTCGGGGCCCTGTCGGGGCCCTGTCCCAATGGACTGCCTACCAGACCACCCCAACCCAACCCGAAGACCCGAATTTCGGGTTGAGGGGGGTATGGGTTCCACACGTGTTTTGTTCGATGTTCCCCGACCCCCCCCCCACTGGAGATGGGGGGCACATTGAGGCCCTCGGGTTGGGCTGGGGTGGTTTGGTGGGTGGCGACCAACGCCCTCCCATCCCCCCCCCTCCTCCCTCCTCCCTCCTCCCTCCTCCCTCCTCCATCCTCCCTCCTCCCTCCCTCCCTCTTCCCTCCTCCCTCCTCCCTCCTCCCTCCGTGGCTCCCGAGCCTCCCTCGCAGAGGGTGCCGCAGGCACCCCCCCCTGCAGGCTCTCTCGCACGGTCAGTCCCCCCTCTCCGCGGTGCTTTTGGTGCAGCCTGTCAACCCCAAGAGCGCCTCCATGGCGTTCCCTGCTGCGGCCCGCCAGGCCTGCGGCCCACCAGGCTGGGTAGTCGAAGCCAATATGGCGCCAATATGGCAGGCCCAATCTGGCAAACGGGGGCAATCTGGCGAGGGAGCCAACGCGAATCCAGTCTGGCGAATAACCCAAATCATCCGGTTTGGCCGGGCCAGATTGGCCCTTGGGGCCCAATCCAATCTGACAGTCTGGCCTTCGACTACCCAGCCAGGCCTGCGCCCCTTGGGGCCTGTCAGACGCCTCTGGCAAGAATATCTGCCTGCAGAAGTTCGTCGTTTCCGAGTTTCCGCAAGCGGGCAGGATGTGAACCTGGTGGGCGCCCCTCAAGCTTGAGGAGCTCCTGCTGGTGAAACCTCAGAGGGCCTTTTTTTCTCCCGTCGTGAACACACGAGTCCTCAAAACAATACGAGATATCGCCGATGCATCGACGATGTATCGGCGACGTCTGCAATGCATCGGCGCAAGTGGCGTGGAGAGAATCGGTTCCCGCATCGAGCCGCATCGCACATGCATCGGCGATGCGGCGCGATCCTCCGACCCCGCTTGGGCGGCCCAGATATCCTGCCCCTCGAGATCGTGATGTTCGCATGGCCCTCTCTTGGGGACTGGCCTTCCGTCCTGAGTCCCTGCTTGACGGCCCAGAAGCCTGGCAACGGCCCCCCGAGACCGAGAGAAAAAAACGCCCTTCGAGAATATCTCGCAACGCGGCGGGATCTGGGACACCAACGACGAAGACGACGACGACCTCCGACAAAATGATGGCGACGACGACGACGACGACGACGACGACGACGACGACGAAGACGACAACCACCGCGAAGATGACGGCGACGACGACGACGACGACGACGACGGCGGCGGCGGCGTAGGCGGCAGCGGCGGCGGTGGCGGCGGCGACGACGACGACAACGACGACGACCTCCAAGAAGATGACGGAGACGACGACGACGACGACGACGACGACGACGACAACGATGACGACGACGACGACAACGGCGGCAGCGACCGCGACGACGACGACGACGACGACGACGAAGAAGACGACAACCACCGCGAAGATGACGGCGACGACGACGACAACAACGACGACGACGACGACGACGACGGCTGCGGTGGCGGCGGAGGCGGCGACGACGACGACCAGGACGGCGACGACGACAAAGAGCACGACCAGGACGACGACGACGGCGACGACGACGACGAGCCCGGCCCGAGGCCCCGCCTGTGTGCGCCACCTCGCTCTCGGCGCCGCAGTCGCCCGCGGACGCGGAATCCTGCGGGTCCTGCACGGCCACGTGTCGAAACACCGTGGGCGAGACGACCTCGGGCGCCGCACGCGGCAACAGACGCACTCGGCGGGCACCGGGGTTGGCGGCGGCAGTGGCGTCGACGGCGGCGGCGGCGGCGGCGGCGGCGGCGGCGGCGGCGGCGGCGGCGGCGGCGACGACGACGACGACGACGACGACGACGACGACGACGACGAACGACGACGACGACGACGACGACGACGACGACGACGACGACGAACGGCGGCGCGCGCGGCGGCGGCGGCGGCGGCGGCGGCGGCGGCGGCGATGGCGGCTTCTCGCACAAAGCGGCGAGGCTTGACGTCGCTGTCGGCGGCGGAGGAACGAGCAGGAAGGAGGGCGGAGGAGAGCGCAGAATCACATAATACGGGAGAGGAGGAGGGCGGCGGGAGGGGGGAGCAGGACCGTGAGGCGGCGGCGCCAGAGGCACGGAGGGGAGGGGCAAGGAGCAGGGAGCAGGGAGAAAGGAAGGGACAACGGGGAGAGGGAGCAAGGGGGCAGGATGGCTGGGCAGGGAGAAAGAGAGGGAGAAGGGGGAAAGGGAGCAGGGAAAGAGGGAGAACGGCAAGATTGGCGCGCTCGCGCCTCATCTGACATCGCACGCCTCCCTCCCGCCCTGTTTTTTGTCCACGGCGCTGGCGTTTTATCCGCGGACGCGCGCCATGGCCGACCTGCGACGCCCAAAGAAAGACCACTTCGCGTCACACGCACTCGGGGAAAAAACAGCTGCGCGCACAGGCGGAGGCGGCGGGTGAGCAAGAGGACGACCTGGAGGGAAAGGACGAGGACAAACAGCAGTAGCAGGAACAGAAAGGGGAAGGATAGGAAGGAAAACGACGGCCCGGGGAGGGCGGAGCAGGGGAAATGAGGGGGGCGAGCGAATGAGCGAGGGAGCGCGCTGCCATCGGATCCGGGGATCCGCCCCTGGACAAGGCGGCGCGGGAAAGCCTCGGCCCTGCAACCTCAGATCAAGTAAATCCCGACATAATGCTTCCATTCGTCCGCCAGGGCGTCGTCGGCGACACGGCTCAGACGGAGGCCATTGCAAAGCTCACTGAGCTCACGTATTCCCTGGGCGTTAGAATCGCTGCAACCAGTTGCATGCTGAAGATCGACGCGCGGCAACCCACTAGGATGCGTGGAGACGCTGTACATGCTGCTCTGCGCTGCGAGTCGCCCGTCGCGTCAAATCGGAGCAAAGTTCCAACGGACTTGAAGGCTGGAAAGACTGCCGTTACTCGAACAACTGCTTCTTGCGCTCGCAACGCCGGATGAACTCTGGCTTGGGTCAGCATCCAGCCCCCCATTGGCACGCGGACCATCATTCGGAGCATGAGCCGTTGAGTTCGTCGCCTCTTGTCTTTAGAAGCTCGGTCGGACACCATGCTTCGCACCCGCACAACATCGCCGCAAACACAGTTTTTTCCAAAGAGGCGGGGCCGATAACTAAGAGAATATCGATTGCCCGTGAATGCTGCCCGGCGAACGTGGAATTCGCCCATGCCGACAAAAATTTCCGGTCGCTCTGCACCTCGTGCACGCTGTTGAGGGAAATCAGAAATCTGCCACCCTGGATACATCAAGGCTCCTGAAAGCAGAATAGCATCGACGCCCACGTCGCCAATGCTCGCGGAAGCTGTCTTTGGTATCCCGGCGCGCAGGGAAGCGCCGCCCAGGATCTTCGCCTTGTCCGCGTGGAGCCCCAGGCCCCTCTCTCGAGCAGCGGCGCGAACATCTTGAATCATGTTCCAGACTTGCCTGGTGCAAGGGCGCGCCAATTGCCGAAACATCATCAGCGAATCGCACATTCGCGATCCAACGAACCGCCCCAAGCTTGAGACCCCATCGCTCGCGCCTCCGCGCGGCCACGACGGCGCGCATGGCATCCTCCACCAGCGCGTTGCACGGCAGAGAGCTGAGGGGCCCCCTTGTTTAGTGCCACGCTGGACTTCAAATTGGTCGCTCATTCTGTCGCGGCGAACACGCGCACTCTGCCCAGAATACAGATCTGGCAACGGCCGCGGACAACCATCCAGAACGCCTTGCCGCTGCAGCGCTAACCACGAACTGCCCAGCCCGATAGAATCGAAAGCCCCGCGAAAACCGAGGACGGCGACCCATGCCAGCCGCCGGAATTCACAGCACTTCTCTTGCAACATGGTAGCTGTGACCAAGTGGTGCGCCGAGCTGAGATTGCCGCGGAAATTGATCAGCTTGGTCTTCGCACTGGGAAGAGTCGAAATTCGGGCACACTCGAGCGCGCAGCAGCTCGGCAAACAGCTTGCACGGGAGACGCACGATTGCACTGGGGCGGCGGTTCGTTGCATTGGCAACATCATCTGACTTGCACATGACAATTTCAAACAATTCGTTCCTCGATTGCGGCGGCACTTCCTCTGGCGCGATGATCCGGCTATACGATTCAAACGACACTTGCCCCAGACGCGGCCCGCCGGAATTTACTACCTCGGCGATCATCCCAGCAGGATCTTTGGCCCGACCAGTTTTGAGCTCTTGGTTTGCGCTCGCAGTTCGCCCGAGGTGAAACGGCGCGTCGGCGACGCAATTCAAGACGCCTCTGCACGCGATACTCCGCGCGCGCGAGCTGAAGAGTACAGATGCGAATAAAACCCGCTGAAAAAGGTCGTCGATACTCGACCCGGAGCGATCTCGATCCCGCGTTCTGGTCCCTCCCATGCTGGGAATGAGCGTTTTCCTGCGGATGCTTTCGACGCGTGGGATGTTCTTCAAGCTACGGAACCTCTCCTCAATGGCACTAATATTCGCGTCAACCTTGGACTGGCGGCGAGCGCGAGGCGTTTTCCGGATCTTCTTGATCGGCTGAGTCCGCCTGCTCGCCTCCGCCAGTCGCAAATTCTGCCTTCTGATGAGAGCATGAGGACGGCTATCATCCAACGCCTTCTCTTCCACGGCACTTTCCCGCAGAGCCTCCGCAACAGCATTGCGTTCGCCCACGTCGCCCGCGATGGCGTCGTCGAGCAGCGTCGTCGAGACATTCGATGCGAAATCATGGTGGCCCACTTGATTCCAATATGAATGCCCATTGGCCTTGCCCGTCCGTCTGCGCGCTTGCACCCAGAAGATCCCGATGTTGTCAGCGGGGCGCCGAACAATCAGAGCCCACGCCAATGCTCCTCGTGTCAAAGCAATCGAGAACATCATGTCGCACGTCCACGTCGCACAGAAAGAAGTCCACGCGTCGCACCCATTCGCCTGCCCCGCGGAAGGCGCATCTGTGCTCGGGACCTTTGTTGCAGAGTGTGTTCGCAATCGCGAACCGAGTCTGCCCCATGCCATGCTGTCTGTTCCTAATGCCGTAGCCGTGTTTTCCATATATATATATATATATATGTACACACACGTGCCTTCCCCTTCGTGTACTTGCCGAACTCGGCATCGAAGTCCGCCGCGAATATGGAACTTATGCGCGGTTGGTTGGCCTCTTCCCGAAGAGCCCCCACGACAAACCACTGTGGAAAAGAAAGCAGTCACCAATCGAAATCAAACTCCACGACGTGCGACGTCCACGAGATGCCGCCCTCTCAAGTATCCCCATGCAATTGGTGCGCGTGTGTTGCCCACCGTTGATGCGCAATGTTTGCTCCCCTCTTGAAACATGCCCCCACCCGCTTCCAGCAAAAATACATCCGTCTGGTAAGTCGAAGAACTCATGCTCTTCTGCAAATCAAGTTTCACTGAGCCCGGAAAGATCCCACTGGCACCCCCCTGCTTCGCGCATAAGTTAATCGATGCGGTCATATGCGGTGAAGCTCCTAAAGCTCTGATGCCACGTGTGCAAGACGTTTGTGCTGTGCTCAAGGTCATGAATGGTCGAATCGCATTCGAGCACGGCCGGCGGCGCGTGGCGCGCTACATTTTGGACGCCCGAAATGGGTACGGAAAGAATGGGTACAATGCCCAACAGCAGCTCCTGTGCATTATGAACAAGACTCGCTGTCGGTGTCGCCGCGGCCTGTGTCCATTTAAGGCAGAAGGCCGCCGGCCCAACAGCGGCCGCTGTTGGTTTGGGACAACATTTGTTGTTGGGCATTGTGCCCATTCTTTCCGTACCTCGGGGATGGACAGAACCCCCTTTAGTAAAACGTAGTTTAGTGAAAACGACCTCGGGCCCAAACCTGGCGGGCGCAAGCCTGGAAAATAACGGCCGCGGCGCCCTTTCGAGAACCGAAAACGGACAATTCACTAATCGACGTGTCACTGTTGGGGGTTCTGTCCATCCCCGAGTACCCATTTCGGGCGTCCAAATACATTCCTTCTTCTCTGCACCACCTGCACGCGATCTCTGAAGCGAAACACTGCCGATGTCCGTTGAATTGTCTCCGTTACCCAACACATCATGATGAAGACATGTCATGGTTTGGTATAGGATATTTGTTGGTCGCCGGCCGTGATTGCGCAATCGTCGCTGTAAGAGCAATCGTATGGTAAAACAAGAATCATCAGTAGCCTGTGTCCTGGTATCCTGGGCTGGCATGGATGTCCCTGGACCCGTACATGTGCACAAAACTGACAGTCTAAACGTCGAACTTGTACTGGTGCATCTTGTAGCCGACGGCCGCGATCGGGTGCTACAGCGTCATTCGCTCTCTCACGTCGGTTCGGGTTTCGCCTTCTCCAACCGCTTCCGCATGGACTCCTCCACTGCAGCTGTCACGTCCATCCCCGTCTTCGTCGTCTACAACTCCCCGTCGTCGTCGTACCACCCTATACTATTTCCCTTCCCTGCCCCATCTCTGGTCACCGCCAACCCCTCTCTGCCACAGAATATTAAAAACCTTGAGGCTTGCGTTGGGGGTGCTTTGGCACATTGTCTTTTGTGTCACCAATCCTTTTTTCCTTCTCCCGCTCCTCCTTGCTCAAACTGTGCTGGAAAAATACGTCCCCGAAGGCCGATTCGTGATTATTCAATACGTATCGATGAAGACAACGAAGAAAGACGCGGATTCAGAAAAGTGGCCCGCACTGCGGCGAGACGAACAGCATCAGCAGGAACCGGAGTGGAAGGAGCGGGAGGAACAGGAGGAACAGGAGGACCTGGGGAAGTCGGAGGACGGGAAATCATGTTTGTTGTTCCCCATCCGCAAAGCAGCCGACCATCTCTAATTCCACCACTGCCTGACACCACAGCGAAACCGCGCCGCAGCGTGAGACAGAGGAGAGCATGACGGCCGCTGAAATTCAAAGTCCAGGAGCCCACGCGCAGAAGAACACAAGCGAGGAGGGGAGGGGGAGGGGGAGGGGTAAGAGAAGACAAGAACCATAAAAGAGACAGAGAGAAACAAAAAAAATCGTGCGTGAGTAGACAAGTGACGGCAACCGCACAAAAAAGACACGAGTAGGAGGGGAGGGGAAGGAGGCAGGGGGGGAAAGAGAGAGCGAGAACGAAGGCAGCGAGGGGCAGACGAGAAGAAAGACAGCTTGCAGCAGGAATGTCTGGACAATTGAAGTCTATACGTATATATATATATATATATGTCTGATGTCGCCGCGTGGCGGCACCGCGCCACGCATGGGCCCGCGGGCGAGCCCAGCGCAGTGGCTGGGGTCGGCCACAGGCGGCCGTGTTGGGGCCCAGCCCATGCATACGGTGGCCCGTAGACCTCCAATGCATTAGAAAACAGATGCAGAGCACAGAGAGAGGAGGAAAGGAGGAAGAGGAGGAGGGGGAAATGAGGGGGCGACCACAATGAAGCAAGACTCGGATCCAGAATGGTGGCCCGCGCTGGGGCGAGAGCGCCACTCTGAACGACGGGAGCCAAACGCCGGTCCGAAAATGAGGCCCACGATGCAGTTGAAACACCGAAAACAATCTGACTTACAAAAACAACAAGAAAAACAGATGCTTGAAATCCTGTGTAAACCACAGCACGCGGAAGGGGGGCGGGAGGTCTGCCGGACAACTTGAGCGGAGGAGGGAGAGTAGTACTCATGTTGGTGAAGTGTAGAAAGAGGGCAGGGAGGAAGCATGGTCGAATAGAGGGCAACCGGCACCCCCGCTCGACGAAACCATACTATGCGCATTTGCAAATCTAGAAATTGGCAAGATACCAGTTTCTGGGTAGTCGAAGCCAATCTGGCGCCAATCTGGCAGGCCCAATCTGGCAAACAGGGGCAATCTGGCGAGGGAGCCAACGCGAATCCAGTCTGGCGAATAACCCAAATCATCCAGTTTGGCCGGGCCAGATTGGCCCTTGGGGCCCAATCCAATCTGACAGTCTGGCCTTCGACTACCCAGAGTTTGCAACAGCCCAACTAAAACAGCTTGCGTCGAGGAACCCTCCAGCAAACAAGACGGCGGAGGTGCACCGTTCCACGTCGCCTCTGCTCTCCTAGCTCCACGTGCGTGGGCCAGCAGGCATCGGTGCAAACATAATGTTGTTTTGTTCACTGCTTCTTCACATGGACTTGTTGCCACCAGTGGGTCGATCAGGCCCAGAGAGGCCGATGGGAGAGGCCCACGAGGACCCCCACAGGGCCCCACGGGCTCCCCACGGCGCAGCGCTCTCGCCGACGTCGCCGCCGCCGCCGCCGTCGTCGTCAGCGCAGTCGGCGTCGCCGTGGTTGCCGTGGTCGTTGTGGTCAACCGACACCACCGAGGTCGTCGTCGTCGGTGTCGAAGGCCGTGGTCGTCGGCGTCGGCGCCGCGCGGCGCGCGCCGGCCCGCGCGCGGCGCGCGGGGGGGGGGGCGCGCCTGCGAGCCGGGCGAGGGGGGCCCGCCCTGGCGCAGGCCGGCGGACTTCCTGGCAGCGGTGTGGCGGCCCCTCCCGCACGCGCGCGAGTGGCGCGAAAGTTCGAGCCACTCCTCCTCCTCCTCCTCCTCCTCCTCCGAGGGTGGCCTCCTCCTCCTCCTCCTCCACTCCTCCTCCTCCTCCTCTCCTCCTCCTCCTCCTCCTCCTCCTCCTCCTCCTCCTCCTCCTCCTCCTCCTCCTCCTCCTCCTCCTTCGCACTGTCCGGGGCACTGCAGAGGGCACGGTCCTGCGGCCGTCCCGCGTCCTGCTGCCTCCCGCCGCACGCCGTCCCACCGCTGTCGCCACTCGCCGTCGCCGTCGCCGCCGCCGCCGTCGCTGTCATCATCGTAGTCGTGGTCGTCGTCGTAGTCGTGGTCGTCGTCGTCGTCGTCGTCGTCGTCGTGGTCGTGGTCGTGGTCTTGGTCGTCGTGAACGGGGTCGTGGTCGTGGTCGTCGGTTGCCGTCGTCGTCGTCGGACCTCATCGTTGTCGTCGTCACCGATCGCCACCACCGCTGGCGGATTGATCTCCTCAATCCCAAGGTGTTTGTTCTCGATTCCAAGCTCTGGGGTCAGTTCCTGAGTGCTGGGACAGGAACTCTGGATGCCCTACAACCCAAAAATCTGGCGTGGCACAAGCCTGTGAATCCCGAGGGACGACCCAGGGAAAGCCGGCATCACGAGGAACGACCCAGGGAATCCCGAGGGACGACTCTGGAAAACGGAGGGACGACCCACTGAACCGAGAGGGGACAGCCCAAGGAAACAAGGGAGTGCCCCCGCCGGAAAGGAAACCCAGAAGCGCGCCCCCAGGAAGCTGTCGACGTCGTGGATCGTCGCCGTCATCGTCGTCAATCGTCGGTCGTCGAGGGGGAGGCTTTACAACGTGTAAGAGCAACTTCATCCCAATTCCAACCAAAACCCAACCGAGACCCAACCAGAATGCGGGCAAAACATGTGTATTTTGAGCACCACTTACACGGGTTTTGGCCGCATTTCCAACCAGAACCAACCACGAATCAACCACGGCCATTCGGCTGGTTGGCGGCTGGTTGGCGGCTGGTTGGCTGCCAACCAGCCAACCAGCCCACCAGCCAGCCAGCCAACCAGTCCGTGATCGTGGTTTGTCATCGTCGTCGTCGTCGTCGGTCGTCCGTCGTCGTCGTTCGTCGCCGCCGTCGAGCGTCGTCGTCGT